AACTCCCAACTTTCTGAGATGCGCGGGCCGGGGACCGAGGGGCTGTGGGGTGTGGGGGAAAGGTTTCCAATTAGAGGCGGCGCTGGAGGTAAATGAGAGCCAGCGTAAAGCCATCCCACTTGGAAGCCTCCTGCGAGAAGCCCATTCTGCCATTAACAATGGATTTGTCTTTACGAGGAGGTTAAGTACTTAGCATTATCGGAGCAGCCGTTTCGGCGAGCGCATCCTCTCCCGGCTCCGCGGCGGCAGCCGCCGCAGCAGCGCGGAACCCCCGAGCATCTGTGCGCGGATTCCCCCCCCCCCCCCCCCCGCTCTGCTCCCGGGGAGAGAGCGGTGTGTGCAGCGGCCTGACCCGGGGGTCAGCTCCCCCCGGGGTTGAGGGGGCGGGGGGAAGGCGGCCCGGTAATCCGCAAGGCAAGAGCATGCTCTGAATTCTCCGGGGTTAGGTCGGCGGTGCCCGCCGCAGCCGCGGCAGCCGGGCCGAGCCAGGCCGCGGGAGGAGCGAACTGAAGCCCCAATGTCCTCGCCGGGAGCCGCCAGCCTCCCGCTGCAAAGCTCGGGGACCCGGGGAACAAAAAAGGCACAGAGGCGAACAAGCGCGGGTCTGTTCCTCCCCGCCACGGAGGAAACTGCGTTCACAAAGAAAGAAAGTTTAACTACGGTTAAAAATAAAAGTGGAGCGAGTTTACCCCGACATAACTTGAAGTCATTAGTTAAAGGGAAAAAGAAAAAAAAAAAAAACAACCAAAACCCCCTGCCCCAACCACCCAGCCCCACTCTGTAGGCGCACACATGTGATGCGGCATTTGCAGCCCGGGGGAAGGGAAGTGGGCGACTTTTGTGATGCAAGTGCGGAGCGGTGGCACCGCGGATCCGGACCTGCGGGGAGGGACAAAGCCCAGATCGGCGCAGCCGTGAAGCCGCGGTTGCGGCCACCTCGCCAGGAGACGCGCTGGTTCAGCTTTCCTCCCCAAAGAAGCAATTTTAATGAGGTTTTCCCTAGGAAAAGGGAAAAGAAAAAAAAAAAAAAAAAAGAAAACCAAACCTACAGAGGCCTTTCCTCCAGCTGTGTGCCTGTAACTCACGTGTGTTCAGTCTAATAACTTTTAATGTCTAGCCCTAAAACATCTTTATAAAAAATAGCTTTACAGCGTAATAGGCCAGGTGTCCTTCTGCTTGTTATCGGAGATTAAAAAAACGTGTGGGAGCCTTTTCAGATGCGTGGCTCGCCGCGCCGGGATGAAGCCCGGCCGCTGCCCGGGGCCGTGCGCCCCGACGGCCGGTACGGCGGGACCGCGGCCCGGCGGCTCCCCGGGCTCCCCGGCGAGGGAGCTCGGCGCTGCGGCTGGAGTTTCGGGTTTCAGACGGTGGATATTTCACTTCTGCTTTGAGACGGGCGAGGTTTTTTTTGAGAGAGACGTAGCGAAAACGCCGAGCCCCGTCATGGCAGTTTTGTGAAATGCCAACCCTCTGGCCGTGACCCGGCTGCATGTGTGTGCGTGTAGGGGGGGAGTTGTGTGCACATTGTGTCCCCCTCCCCAAGCATCTGGCGCCCCCGCATTCTTTTCCAGACGTGGTTTAGATTCTCGATTAAAAACTTCTGGGAATTTTTTTTTTTTTTTTTTTTTTGAGGGGGTGGGGGTGTGGGAGGTTTGGTAGGGACAACTTTCGGGAGCTCCAGCTTTTCCATCTTCGGAGATAAGCGGCGGCGGGCAGCCCCGGCAGTCCTGCTCCGGAGCTGAACACTCACAGCCCTGCTCTCTGCTTGTGCGCTGCCGACGAGGAAAGCTTTTGCAGCTCGCAGAATCTCCGCAGCCTTTTCGCGCGGGGTCCTCCCGAACGTGGCGATTAAAAATCCGCCCCCCCCCCCCCCGCCCCCTTCCTCCCCTGGGGGCCAACTGTCCTCGTTAATCGCCCGGCGTTTTGGCTGCCGGTCGCTCCCACACGGAGAGGCGGCGGGAAGGGCTCGATGCGGCGCCGGCGGCGCTGAGGTGGCAAAAACTCCCGTTTCCCCGGCGGGAAGGCGCCGAGCGGTGCGGGGGAGCTGCGGAGCCCAGGGCTCGCCTGGCCCGGAGGCCGCGGCCGCCCCGGGGCCGCCCCGGGAGCCTCCACGCCGCGGGACCGAGCCCGGCAGTATCGGCGGGGATGGGCGTCATGAACGTGAAATTTACGAGTCGGGCTCGCCGAGCCAAAAGTTGCCTTGCCAAAGTAAATAGATGCAGCCGATAACTACCAACCCGGAGATTAAAGGGCTCCTCAACCCGGGCAGAAAGCTTTAAGCAGCCTTAGAAATGCCAGCGAGGGGAAACGGCGCTTCAGTCGCCACCCCACCCCGCGTTGCCACACCGCTCACACGCGGGAAAAAGCGCGTGAAGGGCTGCCAAAGCCGGATCAGGCGAAAACGCGCTTTAATAAGCCCCCCCCCCCCCCGCACCCCCCCTCCTCCGCCCCGCGCAATGCAGACGTTGACAAACGAGTGGCTTTTTTTCCATCCCGATTCAGAGCTCGCAGAAGCGGACCGGGGGGAAGCGGGGAAATCAGCGCGGCCGAGCCGCGGACTACGCGAAGTTGGGGGCGGCGGGTGGGACCAGAGAGGGGCTCCGGGGACGGGGAGGGGGGGGGAGGAAACGACGACGACACCCCCCCACACACACGGGTGGGAGGCTGCGGCCGTAAGGGTCCGTGCGCGCTATGACCCCCTGCGGGGGGTTAGGACGGCTGCGAGCCCTCGGCGTGTCCTGGGGCGGCGGGGATGCCCTTGCGCGACGGGGGGAATCCGGGTCTGGGTGGGGGCGCGGGCTGCACCGCCGAGGGGCGGGGGGGATCCCGGGCGCCGCGGGGCAGCGGGTCGCCCCGGTGGGGGAGCGGGGCGGGAAGGCCGGGGGCGTCGGGGCCGGGGGGGGGGGGGAGGGGTGGGGGGAGCGGGGCGGCGGGGGGGGTGGCAGCGCGGCGCGACCCGCCGCGGAGCCTCGCAGCGATGTCTGGCAGCGCCGCCGCCGCCGCCGCCGGGGTTTTGACAGCTTGGCGGAGCGGAGTGAGCGGAGCTTTATGGTAATTGCGGTTCTCCACTGGCCTTCTGGGTAGCGAGCGAGGGGAGTATCGGCGGGGCGGGGGGGGGGGGGGGGCGGCTTCCCTGTCCCTGCCGGCCGGGGAGCGCGGGGTCCCCCCCCGGGGCGCCGCAGCTTGGCAGCGACCTGTGTCAGCCCGGGGTGTGTGTGTGTGGGGGGGTGAGAGCGGCCGAGGCGAGGCGAGGGGGGCTGGCGGCGCGGCGGGGGGGGGGCAAATCAATTAGTCAGGGCAAGGAGGCTAGCGGGGGGGGGGGGGGGGGGGGGGTGGGGGGAGGAAGCGGGTGAGCGACCGGGCGAGCCCTGCCTGGGCAGGGAAACGCAGCCAGGGGAGGGGGAAACTTGCAGAGGGAAAAAGCGGTGGCGGCGCTGCTGCTGCTGCCGCTGCCGCTGCTGCTGGCGGCGGCTCCCTCGGTGCAGCGCCTGCCCGGGGGGAGGGGAAGGGAGGGGAGGCGGCGGCTGGAGGAGGAGGAGGAGGAGGAGGAGGAGGAGGAGGGAGAGAGGGAGGGGGGATGCGAGGGGAGCGCAGCGTGCAGCAGACGGAGCCCGGTCTCCCAGCGGCAAGGTGAGGAAGAGCGGCTTTCCCGGCGGACTAAAGAGGGGAGGGGGGGGGGGGGGGAGAGGAAGAAAAAGAGAGAGAGAGAGAGAGAGAGAGAGGAGGAGAAGAGGAGGAGGAGAATTAAATCCCCAGCCACACACACACAAAGCCGCGGCGGCCAGGGCACGGGAGACGGCGGCGCGGGCGAGATGTGGGGAGCGCCGCGCTCGCCAGCGCAGGAACTTCGCCCGGAGCAAGCCAGCAACATGGCGCTGCCAAACCAGCGCCGGCAGCCGGAATGAGCATCGCGGGCTCCCGCTCCCGCTGCTGAGCCCAGCCGAGCCGAGAAGCAAAAGCCCCTCCGCTCGGGCACCTGCCCCGTGGGCGCAGGCGGCGGCCGCGCTCCTGCCCCCCGCGCCCGGCAGCGCTCTGCCTCTCCGCACCCCTTCCCCGGCCCGCCCGCGCCGGGGCAAGCCGCGGCACACGCACCCACGGCGAGGGGGCGGGGGGATCGGGAAACTTTTCTCGCCTCTTCACCCCCCCCCCCCCCTCCCCCCAACCCGCTCCAACTCCCACCCCCGACGGGGCTGCCCTTTCCCGGGAGAGCAGCAGGGCGAGGCGACGGTGCGGGGGGACCCGCGGCGGGGACGGCGCACGCCGCAGCCCCGCGGCGCGGCAGGAAGGTCAGTGCTCCGCTCCGCGAACAGCTCCCGCGTGGAACGGCCGCCGCCGCCGCCGGGTCCCGCGGTGACGGGGCGGCCGCGGAGGTCCCCTCGCCCCGCGGCAGCGCGGCGGCCGAAAGTTACGGCGCGGGGCAGCGGGGCTGGAGCGGGAGTGGCGGGCAGGCGGCGGCGTGGGGGGGCGGAGAGAGGTCCCCCGGTGCGCCTCCGGGGCTGCCGTGGCGGAGGGGAAGTTTGGAGGCAGTTGCTCGTAAAGATGCCTGCTCGGGGCGGCGGAGCGGGGTGTGTGTGTGTGGGGGGGGGGTTGTGGTGGTGGTGGGGGGAAGCTGCCGGTCGCGCTGTCGGCTCCGGTGCGCCCGTGTGTGGGGTGGCGGTGGTGTTCCCGTCGTCTCGCACTTCGCGATCGGGAAGGCGCCCGGGGGCAGCGGTCGTGTGCGGGGCTCCCGGGGGACGTGGCGAGCGGGGAGCGGCGCTGCCCACCCGCGGCGAGGGGACGGCTCCCGCGCCGGGCGGGCCGGGGCTCCGCGTTTCCCCGCCGAGAGCGGCGGGCGGCCCGGAGGCTGCGGGCAGGTGAGCGGCGGGGAGGCCCCGCCATCGGCTGCCTTCCCCTCGCCGGGAGAGCCCGGGGGCGCCGCTCCCCCCCCCCCCCCCCTTCCCTCCCCTCCCCTCCGCCCCGGCGGGGCGGGCGCCGCCGCGCACGTGGGGCAGGGCGGCCCGGGGCTTTCCCGTGCGTGGAGCTGTGCTGGCGTGAGGTCCGGCGTGACACGGAAGTTTAGTCAGCCCTAAAATGTAGTTTGGAGTTGGGAGAGCGAGCCGGAGGGAGGCTCGGGGCTTGCCATCAAAGGGCCGGCCGGAGGGGGACGGCCAGGCGGGGAGGCAGCGGAGGCGCTTTGTGAAGCCGGGGCCAAGTGGGGAGGCTCTGCGCAGCATATGAGGCATGCATTTGATGTTCGCGGAGCGAGTCCGGGGGCGAGGGCTGCCGAGGTTCACGTTCCTCTTTCTTGCACGTTGCGTGTGCGTTTGTGTGTTTTCGGGTTTGTTGGGATTTTTTTTGTTGGTGTTTTTCTTCCCTGCCCCACACCCCCCCACACACCCCCCCCGCTCTCGTTTCCGCGATGTCTGTCGGATCCTGGGTTTGGTGATCGCGGAGGGGGCGAGAGGGAGGCGAAGAGCACCTCCCCCTCTCCCCCGACCAAAAAAAAAAAAAGAAAAAAAAGCGCCCCGGCCGTAGTAAGCGGTGTAAAACTGACAAAGTGCGGGGACTGGCATTAATGGTATCGCCTCGGAGCTCCTCGCAGCATTAATTCCTACTAATGAATCTTTTCCAGAAACTCCGTTCATTGCTTTCATCTGCTCTTCGGAGCCTGCAGCTTTTGTATTCGTGTTTGTATTAAAAAGGGGGGGGGGTGGGGGTAACCCAGCCCGCACCACGTAGCCCCGTAGCAAAGCCCGGATTTTCCAAAGGTTTCTATTAACTTTTTTTTTTTTTTTTTTTTTTTTTTCGCCGCCCCCTCCCCGTGGCCCTACCGCGGGGGGCGGCCGGGGGGACCCGTGCCCCACCAGGGCCGCTTGGGAACAAAGCTGGGGGCGAGAGCGGGCGGGCGGTGCGGGGGTCTCGGCCCCTGGGGCAGCGCCCGCACCTCCCGCCGGTGGCTCCGCCGCCGCCCGCGCTTCTCCCGCAGCTTTGTGCTCTCCGCTGCCCGCCGAGCCCCGCGTACCGCTTCCTCCGGCCGCCGCTCTCGCCTACTTTCGTCCCCGAGAGGCTGGTGCTTGCCTGTGTGTCTGGAGCTCGGTGCCGTCGCGCTTGCGACACACCGGTTCATTTCCTTTCGGTTCTGCTGTCGGAGCCGCTGGGTGTTTTTTTGGTTTTGGGTGTCTTTTTTTTTTTTCCCCTCTTTTTTTTTTTTTTTTTTTTTTTTTTTTTCCCCCGAGAGGTAGTCAGCGCAGCGCTCACCCTAATTGCTTTTAGGAGGATTAGGAGAAAATTCCTCCCCCCCCTTCTTCCCACCGCCTCCCCCCGCCTCCCCGGGTTGCCTTCGCGCGCCGGGGTTGCAGTTTATCCCTGGTGCAGTTCTTTGAATTGCTGTCACAAATAGGTGACTCAGAGTTAATTAGGAAGTATGCACCGGATCAATGGGCTGCACAGCTCATTAGTTATTCCCCAGCCTTTTGCAGCGTTGGACCTCCGGCTCCTCTCCCCGTATACCTCTTTAATACGCAACCCGGAGGAGGGCTGGCAGGGACGAGGGAGCACTTCGGGTGAGGGGGGCCGGGTGCGAGGGGCCGGGTGTGAAGGGGCGTGATGAATACGGACATTGAAGTTTCCAGGTTGGGAGGTTGCGTGTGGACGAGCGGCCGGGTCCCCTCTTGCTTCCCCCCCCCCGCCCCCCAACCCCTCCCGCACCAGCTATCAAACCTGCCTCCCCGCACGGGCGTGGTGGGCCCTCGCCCGCCCTGAGGTCGGAGGGACGAGTCCGGAATGTTACCAAAAACAAACAGGCACCAAAAAAAAAAAAAAAAAAAAAAAAAAGTGTGTGTTTATTGGAGCGTACGCTGAGAGAGCAGACAAAATCTCATTTGTCAGGCATGAAGGTGGGCTGTGTGGAAGGCTATAAATATACCGGGGAGGATTGTATCGCGGTCACTTTTCTGTTCTTCGCCATTTCTAAGGTGAGTGGCGGAGGCTGAGGGACCGGGCAGGGGCTTCTCCTGGTATTGTTTGTCCGTCTGTGATAGATCGGTCTAGACAGCCGCTCAGGCTCCCTGCGAGCTCAGGAACCGGAGCCTGAAAGGGAGAGTGGGGGAGTCGGAGAGGAAAAGGTCACCGCGATATTTTTTTTTCTTTTTTTCTCTCTCTCCCTTTTTTTTCTTTTTTCTTTTTTTTTTTTTTTTTTTTTTGGTGGCGGTGGTTGTTAACCCTTAAAGCCGAGAGGGGATCGGGGCCGGCTGTTCCGGCCTGGAAGGATGCGGGAGCAGCATTGGTGGCAGGGATGCTGCCGGAGCGGGGGGGGGGGACGACGACGACGACGACGACGACACACACGACGGACGGGGCAGCTCACCCCGGTCCCCCGGCGCTGCCCCGTCCATCTGATGGCTTTATAAGAGCTGTTTCCCACAACAGGAAAAGAGTTCACGGGGCGAGCGCCAGATTATGTCGTTCCCAGGAGCCTCCTCTCTCTGGAAACTCCGAGGAGCGCTTGGAGCCGGGGCCGGGGAAGCCGCCGCCGCCCCTCGGGCTCGGCAGCGGCGGGGCCCCGGGGGTGGCCGGGCGGGTGAGCCCCGGCGACGGGGCATCCCCGGCGGCTCTCCGCCTCCTCCGGCCTCTCCGTTCCACACCCCCCCTCCTCTTTCCCGCGGGCTGCTGTGGAAACCCCGCGGTGGAGGTTCCCGGCCCCGCGGGGGGGAGCGAGTTTCCGCGGTCGCCTTCAGGTCCCACCAATTTCTCCCCCGGCAGCTCGGCGCCGTTCGCCCCACGGGGGCCGCGTGTGTGCTCACAGCGTGGGGCGGCCCCCGGCTCGTGTCTGCGCTCACAGGAGCCGGGCGGACCTGCTCCGGGGCGTTGGGGAGCTCACGGGGCCACGCACACCTCGTGGAGCACAAGGGCGGGCGGGGAGTGGGGTCTGCGTTGGGGCTCGGGTGGGCCGGGGGGTTATTTGCAGCTCCCGGGTGCGTGTGTGCTTCCTTTTGTACTGAGACGTCCTCGGTGGAGGAGATGCGATCGTGGCGTGCAAGCCTGGGCGGTACAGATTAAAAGCAGTTAAGGCTTTAGAGCGATAGATAAAAGCTGGTTTTGTTGGATTCGCCTGCAGCGCAGACCATTCCCATTCCTCTTTGTCTGAGCCCCGGTTCCGGGCGCTACAGCCTTATTGGAAATGCTCCCGAGCAGCCCGCGCAGCCAGGGCAGCAGGCAGCTCAGCGCTTATTTACACGTCACATCTAAATACATCTCTAATTAGATAGAAGCAACGCCGGAAATGGCAGATTTGTTGCATATCTAATAGAGACCAGTGCAAACAGTCTCAGCAGGGTTTCCCTCTCCTCTTCCCCCCCCCCCCCAAAAAAAAAAAAAGACCAGCAAGACCAAGCTAGTAATCTGAGACCGAACAGTAATAACTTCTCTCATTTGAGTGCATTATAAACCACATTGGCAAATGTCTCTATTCTAATATTTAAAGCAATACTTAGGATGTGTGAACTGAATGCCCAAATATGGACTGGGTCTTGAAACAATACTGGTGCCTTGGCTTTATTCCTGCACTGGTGGACAATCCAGGCTCCGTGTCACGCACTGTATCTGCCTTTACCAGGATGTGCCGAGAGCTGCAGCTTCTCAGGCAGTCCCAAATTGTCCCTTTTCCCTCCTCTTCCCCCGCCCCATGATAATCCGCTTTTAAAAAGATTGATAGAGAAGCCAAGGTCCCCTAACAGGGATGCCAGAGGCAAGGCGACTGTGCTCCAGGGGCTCCTGTACAGTCCACCCAAGCAAACTTTGTGGATCTGTGCCGCTGCAAGACCGCACAAAGTTGTTGACATGCTTTCGGGTCTCCGTTTGTGGAGAAAATGGACCCGGGCCACCACAGCCCAAAATAATGAGTGCTGCGCATACCAGAGTAGTCTTGGCAATCTGCGGCTGTCGTTTAAAAGGTCTCTCAACTTTGACCGGTGAGTGGCCTCTGTGAAGACGGGCAAAAGGCCTGCTCCAACTCAGGTCGTAGCTCGAGCAGCCATGTTGCCCTGGGAGTAAATGTGGCTCGGTGTAAATTCATGCTCGGCACGGAGGAGAAGTGGGCTCTGATTTCTGCACATCTTGACAAAGGTGTGGGCTCTTGCTGGGACTCTGCGGCGTAGTTGGGTTGCACAGGTGATATGTGATACGCTATCTTTCCCCTGAACACTGCAGTAGATCACGTTTTAGTGCGGGCTTAGAAAGAGCAGCATGAAGCCGAGTTTAATACTTCCTCCTTAGGCTGGTGTCGCTTTAGAAATAATGGATGGCCAGAGCAGGCCTGCTCCCCTCTTTCTTGGTTTGTGCAATAACCTGAGCGGTGGAGTCGAGCCGCCTGGCTGGGGAGAGCCCGGCTAACGCCTTGTACCCACGCCGAGCAGTTCTCGCTGCCTGCGTGCGTGGGGCTGTGCCTGTCCGTGTGCCTGTCCGTGTGCGGGTGGCTGTGCGGGAGGCAACGCGGAGGCCTGGGCTGCAGGCAGGGGGAGTTCCCCGGGCCGTGAGCAGCTCCCGTTAATCCTCGTGTCCTTCCAGGGAGCCGCTTTATAGCAGTTGCTGCTCCGGCGCAACCTTTCCCTCCAACTCAACCCACTCGGGTCGCGAGGCTGCGGTGGGCAGGGGTGCCTCTGCGGTGGGAGTGCGTCTCTGGTGGGCGTTTCAGTGCTCCTTGAATGGCCAAGCAGATGAGGTGGGGACAGAAAAGAGGAGGCCAAGAACTCATTGCAAATGTGCATTTAGGAAAGTTCTGCTGCTTTCCAGCAGGGAATTCATTTTTCCTTGTTTGCTGGACAGCAGTACTTGGCCGAGCGGTGATTTTTTTTCTCCTCCTCTCTTCCACTGCTGGAAAAGTTAGCGAGTGAGAGAACGCTTCAGTACCTGCCCGCCTGTTTGCCTAAACTGTTGTCTGAATTATTTGGGACTCTCCGTCCACACGCAAAGCGCTCCTCGCTCCCCAAACTTACCTCGTGAGCTAATAGATTTGGTGCCGTGTGATTAGACATGCAAGGAAGTCCGCTTGGAGAAGATCCTGACAGCATGAAATATAATTTGTGATCTGAAAGACAGTTTCCAGTATAATCTCATTATGCACCACAGACTCCCGGTGTTATTTTGTAGAAGGCGGACAATGATCAATTTACATTGACCTGGGGCTGGGCGAGCTTTTAGATGGTAATTGCCATATTGATTTGCATGCAAAAAGAAGACCTGCTAAAATTAAAGACCGGAAGCTAAATTAAACTAAATTTATTGTCTAGGTGCAAACTAAAAGACTTGTTAAAGTCTAGGGTGGACTTGGAAAGCTATGAAATTCAGAGAAAAATGATTCTCATCCCGATTGCTCCGGAAAATGAATCTACATGATGACACCGGGGCTGCAAAGACCCCATTGTGAGCAGAGGCACACAAGCCGGGGCTGTTCCGTGTAAGCCCCGACTCTCTAAACAATCGGAGAATAAAATATCTCCTCTGTCCAATGAAAATCTCGGCCTGAATGTTGGGATTGTCGTGCTAAGGAAAACAAAGCTTTATTTGGATAAGACAATTAAAGTGGAAAGCGCAGAATCCACCAGCCACGCTGGGAATGGCTCATATAAAGAGCTGAGTGTGTTCAATAGGGCGCTGGGGAAAGGGGGAGGCTCAGGGCTGCGCTCCGCGGCCGAGCCTGCACTGGGAAAGCCTGGCATTGTGCTGCCTCTGCCTGCTCCTCGGCCAGGAGGGGCGAGAGCGCTCCCAGCCAAACGCACTCTCCTCTCCGTGGCTCCCGAAGCCATCTCCCACGGCCGGGAGCTGCGGGTCGTCCCCCGCGCACCTCGGTGTGGCCCACAGTGGAGTGCAGTGCGCCGGCGCTGCCAGCCAGCCCGCGCTTTCTCAGAGCGTGTTTTGCTTTTCCTTTTCAGCTGGAGTAGCTCTTGCTCTTACCCCCCGTATGTTTGTTCATTTAACGCTCGGGAATACCTCACCTAGGGGCCTTGGTACGTCTTGCAGTATTTGCATATTACAAAATATTTGGGCCCGTGTCCTCAGTTATAAAAGTCAGATCTCCTCCTCCACGGGAGTATCGGAGTAGCTGGCGCCTGGCACAGCTGATAGCAGAGAGAAGTACACCTGTATTTGCACAGGCAGCAGACTCGGTGCCTGGGGCAGCGCCGTGGCTGTCCCTGCGCTTGCGTGGACCAAGTGCCGTGGGGCTGCCTGTCCTGTCGTGCGCCCACTGCTGTGTTTCCCCCACGCTCCCCAGGAGTGGGGCGGCATTGCAGCGGGGGGTCTCCTGGAGGGGGTGGGAATGCTCTGCGGGTCTTAAAAGTGGCATTTGCACAAGGATGGCGGCAGGTAGGGACAGAGAAGTGCAGTCAAAGCTGGAAGGGCATATTCTCAGCTCTCCTTGAAATTCACAGAGAACTCGCTAATGGCACAAGAACGGATGGGGCTGAGCTCCTCTTCTTTCTAAGTGTAAATTCCCTCCCAGAGCCAGACTTTATCCATGTGAATGCTCCTAGCTACAGAGAGATCCTACAGGGATCCCTGATCCCCAGGCAATCCCCTTTGCTCCCACGCCCCTGGCGCGCTGGGTTGGGCTCTAAGCCTCTCCAGATTGCCCACAGCAGTAGGAGGCTGAGCTGGGTGATGGGGGAAGCCCTTCCCACAGGCTGTGGTCCCCCTGGCTCACCTTGCTCTGGCCTGGTCGTGCACCCACGTGGTGTTTTCCTTTCCTCCCGTTTCAGTAGTCAAGCACAAAGTGGATTAGCAAAGCCCCGTGCAGAATTAAGCAGCCCAGCGCGAAGTTATGCCGAGCTCCGTCTGGACGACTCGCCTGCCTTTCCCCTGCGGACCAACCGTGCTGTGTCCCGTTTTGCCATGCCAGGACAGCCCAGGGCCAGTGGGCAGGGGCGGGTGGATGCTTCCTGGGGTCTCCACGCAGGGAGGGAAATAGCTCCGGCTAAAG